CACGTACCTATATGTAGATAACATATCCATATAAGTAGATAGATGAGTATACATGTATAAGCATGCACCCATTTACCCAAACTCACGTTTATTTATTTTGTTGTTTGCTGCCATAGTTGCTTCTCACTTCTACTCCCTTCAATTCTCTCACGCCATACAATCTCTGAATTATCTGAACTTCGACATATTTAAAAACAGGATCACAGTCTGCAGTAAAGGGAGTAATGAATGGCAAATCCAACACTACTTTGACAGGATAGATTAAACTACAGCTAATTGAATTCATGAGCTATAGTTCACATGCCGAGAGTACTTGACATGCCTTTTGCAGACTTTCTTTCTCCAAAACTGAAACATCACTGATGAGGGTCACTTGCTATTACAGCTAACACAGCACACAGATCAACAGAAATATAATTTTAAATTGTATTCAATTTAAAGAAAAAACATTTCAAAATAATTTAGGATTTACGCTTAAAGAAACAGTAAACAAGCTCAAAGATGCTAAAATTAGAATGCAGAGACAGATGTAAGGATCAGAAATAAACACAAAACGAATCTGTCCGGGCTGGCTCATTGGTTCATATCTAACTCAAGTCAGTTGTAACTGAAAGCTACTGGTATCTGCTGGTTAATAGTTTATCATCCATTAACACTTTTACAGGAGGTGAAGCATGTGAAGTTTTCAGTAGCAAAAACAAAAGGCATACTTCTGCCCTGAAGACAGATGAAATACAGTTTAGAGAATATAGTTTATTTTAATAAATTCTAAAACTGGATAGCTGTCATAGGCTTTACAGCATCAGGAACAGATGTGCCCCAATTTGTATCTACTTTTCAAATGATGAAGGATGAAATGTACAAAACTGAAATTAAAAAAAAAATTAAAAACCCACCATTTTTTTTTTACCCCAGAAGAAATATATTTTCCTGTCTTTGAAAATATTTTGCATTAACTTTGATGTTACTTCTTTTTTTCAGATTCTTTCCAATTCTCTTCTCAGTTACTTTTGTTTTCTTTCTAATGGTTCTGTCTTGTAGGACACACTGTCTTTCTCACACGTTCTTCCCAGCTGTCATTGGCAGTAGAAAAAAAAAAAGTATCGAAATCAATTTTAATCATGAACAATTTTCCATTAACAGAACCACTGCTACTCACTGTAAAAATACTAGAAGAGATGTAGAAAGCTTTCAAACAGAATATTTTGAATTAAGGTGTAATACTGGGAAAATTTTAGAAAGGTTCTTAAATTTATTATAACCCAAATTACATTATTTCCAAATATATTAATGAATGAGCAATTTCTACACATATTGTTGCTAATATAAATTTATTTTAAATTAATTGAACTATGCCGTCACTAAAAAAGGAGGAAGAATAATGTTGCTGATTCAGCATAAATTCCAAATTCACCACTTTTGAGTGTGACAGCTGGGTGGCTTAAACAAAGACATACTATCAAAGTTTTTATAGGCCTCTGAAAGTCACAAAAGTCAGGGAGAGGTTAGTGGCCTCAGAACACAAATTCAACATACAAACAGGCAATGTGAAACGTTTTAATGAAAGAGGGAACAGGAATCCCAATTTAGAAACAGACTGACCAGCAGCTGTCCTCATTGTTTGTTCTCCAGAGACAGACAACGAGTTACCCACTAATCTTCCTGAAAACAAACTGAAATTTACAATGCATACTCTGAAGTTATTTTTGACAGGCCATGCAAATTAAAACTGTACAAGCTATCATCTCCTGCACCCAAGAGCTGTAGGAAGTCAGTGTCAAGCTGGAGGGGGGGGAAGAGGTCTGAGGCTGGAAGTCTGTCATCAGTCTGGGGGCAGGTGCTTAGAGGAGTCTGCTATTACAGCACTCAGAAGTTTACTATAAACAGTCAACCACCAGCTTCTTAATTTTTATACTCGCCATCCATACAGCTATTACAGTGCACCCTTATGAGTAGAGCAGCAAAGTAAAAATCTTACACCCAGTTTAGCCTGTTTTTGAAGAGTCTGTGGAGGGACAGCTCTCTGAACATCTACCAAAATCACTTCAGAGCATTTAATTTACTGACTGGAGCAATACCTGAGAGGGATAAAAAGCAGTAATAACTAGACATTTCCATCCAGAGAGCACTCTGCACCTTCAACAATAATGGCAGTGCCATTACCATAAATATTTCAGATTGCTCAGTCTCCCCATATTCCCCAACACAAACAGAACAACACTTACGCAAATGCCTGGGACACTGTGTAAGAAACTGCATTTTAGCAAAGAACCATACCAAAACTCATAAAAAATACTGCATAGTGGACACCTTAAACAGTCATTTTATGTGATTTTGGTAACAAATCATTACCTCTTTTGTAAGAATTATGTAAAGAAGAAACTAACAAGAAAACCAACCAAACAAAAACAAAACAAAAAAATCCCAAACCTTGGAACCTTCATATGCTTTCCTCTTGTAGTAGACAATGTCAGTGGTTCTAAAATCTCACTTTCCAGGCAAAATAATGTACTGCTTTCATAGCTTCAGTGCTTTTAACAAACATGCATAAGACAATGTCAAGTGTACACACAAAAAATAATGCATGTCCAAGGGTACAACTTCTAATAACAGTTTATACTATATAGCTCTTCTGAGTTCCTTTTCTCAAGTACTCCAATAAATACAAAATATAAATCATTACACCTGAATATGCAAATTGCATATTACAATTAAAGTAACAAGTATCAGGTACATGATCTTTCCTGAAAAATTAGCTCAGAACCAGTACTTTAAGGAAGTAAAAAAATCCTGGCTTAAAAATTTAAAAAAAAAACTGCTGCATGCTGTAGGTACTACATGAACAAAGGTCTGATAAGTGTGATAGCCATAAAGAAGTCCATATATGTTGACAGAAAATGAGCAGAAGACTTACATATTCTCACTCTTCCTACATCAAGCTGTGGAACAGTAAAACTTAGGGTTTATGAGTTTGTATAAATTTAAATATATATGCATATTTACATATAAAATGTAAAATCCAATAGGGAAATCTGAAGGTGATATTCAAACTGAATATCCAGAAAAGAAACAGAAGAAAAGATTTCACATAAAAATGAGTCTATTTTAGACACCACAGCTTGTTGGTATAAGGGCTATGAAATACACTGCAAACCAGAACTATAAAACCAATCTACTTTTACTTTGGTAGTAAATAAACACTCGCCAACAAATGAGAGGCACAAGACTAGAAAATCAGATACTGCAGGAATGGTTCCACTACCAGATCAACTCAACAGACAAGTCTAACATTCCCCTACCACTGGTGGCACACCATACAGTTTAGTCACATAGAAAGGATACTTCCCTCATTGTATTTAATGTGCTTCAGTTATACATAAATAAATAACACACACAAACACACACACACTAGCTTTGTCAGATATGAAATGTATCGAAGCAGACCAATTGATTCCCTGGAGAAAAACAACAACACATTTACAAAAAGTTACTGCCAACCAATTAACAGATCAGCTAGCAACTAGTCCAAACTGGGACGGGAGCAAACAAAGTGGGCAGAAGAAAAAGGGCTGCCAAGTGGAAAGTTTGCACCACCAAATCCTACAGATCACCATCACTGATCCATCTTCAGTATTTAAAACAAGGATAAAAAAAAATGTATTTCATATAAAAAACTGAACCACTGCTCTAATGTGAAGTTCAAACTGTGCACCTAACAAGGTAAACAAGCTTCACAAACAATGTTGTATCTTATATGTCTCACTTCTTCATTTAAAGAAACCCAAACAAACACACTTGTTCATTCATTTGAAAGATAATCTTATGGGAAAGCAGAAATAGCCTAATTTTGAGAATTGCTCTTCCCTAACACCCGAATTTCCCAGGTGCACACCAACACAGTGTACTCACCAGAATTTTACTGACCAACTTCTTTGAAGCTGCTAAAAAACCCTCCAAAACATTGCAGAGATGGAAGGGTGCCTTCCCAAGTAAAGATAACATATTAAACTACTCGAGTAGTACAAGCTAATGTTGAAAATGTTTTACATTGTTAAGTATCAACAGTAAGGGAATTATATTGTTTAACCTAAATTTGGTTAAGAACAGCTTACACTCAGACAAGACCTTGAAAGGTAAACACAAGTTCCCATCTTTTACTTCACAAAAATTCACTTTTCATCACTGTATACACATCTATGCCGCTCATAACAAACAAATTCCACCACATTTGTCTTTTTTCTAATTATACTGCATATCATCCTTAAAAGTGGACCAAACTAGGATTAAACACACTTTAGGTAGGAATTTGCCTCCTTAAGTTTTCATGATATAAAAGCCAAAATATCAAGGTATCCATCTCCAAAAGGTTGCTCTCCCTGTCCACTACAAACAGTCCAGACATGCAAACTCAGGAACTTAAATATAGAAAAAGGTGAGTCAAGCCCTAAGAGACTCCATGCTCTCAACCACCAGTACTTTAAGTTCCTGCTTCTTCCCTTTGAAAGAAAAAAAAAATTAGTTCAAATTGGTATTTCTCTTCAGGTTTCATATCTTCTTCAGTTTGGGCTGACACACAACACTCGACAGAGAAATTTCTCAAAAGTATTTTCACCTGGAACATTACTTTTATTTAAGCATAAACTTGGCAGAGGAAAGAAAGGCATGGTGTTAGTTGCCTCATTTTGTGGGAGAGTTTTTCACGATTCTTATTCCTGAAATGTTAGCACTAGTTGGGTTCCAGACTATTTGATTATTTGCATTGCAAAAGGCACTTCTGGGCATCTCTGGGCTATTTATAGGACTTAACAAATTACTTATCTCCAGAAGTATATGTGAGTGTCAAAGCCTACTCTATAACATCTATAATACCTAACTCTATAATTCTGTGTTAAATTCACGAAATCAGACAAAGAATAATGAATTTCTTTCTGCAACTAGTTAAATATCTAAATTAGACTCAGACAAAAGAAACAAGTGACAGGTAAACACTGACCATTTACCTCAAGACTGATTTTAAACACTGAAGATAGAAAAGCAGAAATGTGAACTTTCAATTTTCACGTGTTCAGACTTCTTCAATACACTCTCACTTTCCTGACCTCTCTGAAAGATAAAAGAAAATACTTGTTTCAATCCATTTTTTCTAGCCTAGTGAGAAAAAGAACCTTATGGGAAAGAACCTGTTGCTGCTTAATCCACAATAAACATTATGCTACTGAAATTCACCTCAGCAGTGGATAACAGGAAAAGCAAGAGAAGAAAGCTGAGTCACACCTGGTCATTTTCTCTCTAGAACACCAGCTATAACAATAACAAGGATTTATTTTGGGACAAGTGTCATTTTGTGGGAGTGAAAAATGAAGTAAGAAATATAGAGACTGAAAACAAAGTCCAAGTCATTTAGCTTTATGACTAAAGCCTCAAAGATGTACAAACGTAATGGTGAATTCAGGTCACCATTACAGTCACAACATTCAGACCATGTTTTCTTTCAAAACTTGTGGTATTTAAAAACACTGCCAAGTAAAATCATGGATTATTATTTATCATTTTAGTATCAAGAAAAGGTGACAAAAGAGGAAAAAAATGCTCATACATCCCTTAGAATATTTTAAAATAGGGGAAGACCTCGATAGTGAAACAAAAAATAACACTTGGTAAGAAACTGGAGTAATATGAGAACTGCCATCTAAAATTCCCCTGGCCCCACCCCCGGGGGGGGGTGGTGGGGAAAAAGCCACCAGCATTCTTTGGTGTAAAGAACTGGCTACTCTGTAGCAGAATTTCTTACCTAAACAATACACTGGGAAAATAGTACTGCAGTGTCCTATACAGGAGTCAACCTATGGCATTAGACTACAGTTCTGTACCTACTGTCCTGCTGACACAATGTCATTTGAAATTTATTTGACTAGCAACTTTTGTGTGTGAACATAGAGAAATTAAGTACTTGAAAATACGCTGCACCTCATCTTTCCCATGAACTTTTTTAAATTTTCCCATGCTCATAGAAATGAAAATACTGGTTTGCCCAACTTTTTATTCTGCATTTGTTTAGTGTAAAGCACGTCATGGGAACACTAGTTTAAAGGAATCTTTTTGCATGAAAATACTGTTATTAAAATATTTCAATCAATTGAGTAGATTTACAAAACCAAATTTACATTTATAAAGACTACTATGGAATTCACTGCACTTTGAAAAATGGGCAAGAAACAGATCTCACAGAACAGAGGGCAAGAATAAGTTCGTCATCTTTCTCCTCCTGGTGTTCTCTTCTTTCTCCCTTTCCTATTACCATACATTTCAATTGGGAACATAACATTCCTTCTGCCAACTTCACCTACACAAAAGTGAAGAAGTACCTTCTGGTTTTCCTGTACTACTTATTCTAGTTTACCTGAATTACTTTTTCATTGTGGTATAATTAAAAATTTAATATCTCCATTTCAGGATACGTGTCAGGTGTTCTGGCTACTGGAATAGGAAGGTTGCTCATGCTAAATGCTCACTAAAACCAAGCGTGATTCAGAAATTATGCCACTACTGTTCATAGTCTCCCTCTACCACTGACCGGACCTACAAGAAGTTTGAAATTAGTTCAGATAAGCAGAAGTGGTCCACGAACTTTCAGCAGTAAAATTTCAATGAACATGGTGGTCATGGCATATTAATTTCTGTTTCTGTGCAGTATAGAACTAAATCAATCTTGGCACAGCTGAGTATGTAAATTCACTAAGATGCATACAGTATTTCAGTCTGGCCTGAGCAACAGTTTCTGCGTGTGCTGAGCAAACATCTGTATTTCAATCTCCTTTGAAAGGAAAATTAATTCAAAACAAGATGGGCATAACCAGGCACCTTCAATAGCTCCAGAGCAGGAGTGTTCACCTTTCATATAAGACTAGTTAAAAACTCCATACAATTCAAAGGTTCAAAAACACATCTTCAACCCCTCAGATAGTATCCTTAAAGAAATATTTTTCTTGTTCAACTTCCACTAGTGCCAGAAACCACTATGCACCCCAGTCCTACACCCTCCCCAAACGCATAACTTCCCTTTATCAACTAAATATTAGGGCACTTCCCCCAAAAGCATACCCGTACTCTGGACTCTGCCTTTTAAGAAAGGGCCCACAAACACCAAACCAAAGGTTGAGCTCTGGGATATCTGGGGGAGATAAATGTCCTCTGAATCATTATGCTAAATTGTACTTCCCTTTTGCTCTTCCTTCCTTCATAGCAAGTTCTTTGCTAAACCAGGCACAGTATCCCAGCAGAAATCACAGAGAACACATGCAATTCAGCCTGCATTATGGTGATCGGGTTAACAGAGAGCATTTAATCCTCTTAGACTATGAAGGATACTTAAAACAGTAGTTACTATACCCAAAGTAGATATTGCATTCAACTTTTTTTTTTTACATGGCCTTTATTCTGTCCTCCAAGAGAAGTTCCCTAAAGTCATAGATGATCATAACCTCACAGACACCAACATAATTTTTTTACCTTAAATACTACTCATAAACAGCTGTAAGAGCAAGGAGCTCACTGCCCTATTTTGACTCTTTCTGAAGTTGACTGTTTCCAAGGCCCTAACTATTTCTAAGTTTGGGTATATCTATAAGCAACAACGATTCTAGCAAAGAAGATATCAGAACTTCCTGTTATGTAATTTCTGAGCACTCCTCCTCCCCTCCACAAATATCTCAGAGCACACAGCTTTTGAGAACATCAGCAGAAAGAAAATGATTTTTCTTATAAGAGCAGTCAAACTGCAGACAACTCTAAATTACTTTAGTGAAACTGATGACATTAATCTCATCTATTTGTGCAGGGAGATCAAAATGGAAGATAGGATAATACTGACTTAAACCACTGCTAAAAAGAATTATAGATATACTCTTTCAGTACCTGCGATATAAACCTACAGTGTACTTAACTAAATTCAAAAAGGTATAAACCAAGCAAAAAAGAGTTTTTCAAGGTAAACTACACATCTACATATTACCCTGCACTATTCTGCACTGGTTTAACTTGCAGCCCATTTAACTCAGGAATGCAATGTAGCATGTTAGTAGGCGCACACGGAGCAGCCCAACCTCAGATCTCAGATGCACTACAGAGACATTAGTCTCTGTAGTGCATCTCATAAACTCAGCCACTCAGAGGTAGGTACAAATGTGTTCAGTTTCAGTATCACTTTGAGGCTGCAATATTGCTTCCTGGTCAGGAGTGAGATCCTGTCCCTGTCACAGCCTTCTACTGAGATGCACAGGCATGTCATAAATTCATTTTTAAACCAACTTACAGTAAGACAGATCAGTTTCTTTGACAAGGTGAGGCCTTATGTATTTATTTGTGCACATTTTTATACCCTTCTAGTTTTGCATTTTGTCTTCCTTCTCCCTGCAAAACCACCAATGTCACAGTTCAAAAGAGATGCAAAGAATGGTCATCTTCTCAGACAGAGCTATTTGAGAAAAGAAGAAAAGAAAAAACAATCAAGCTGAAGAAGACAGAAAAGGGAGACTGAGCATTCTGTCAGTGTCCTGACAGGCAGCTATTGCTCCTTTCACATTTTATTCTCTTCTCTCTTTCTTCATATGAAGCAGTCTCACTTAAAGTTTCTCTTTATACCTTGTGGAATCACAACTTTTTGCTTCCTTCCTTAACCTTGAAGAAACACCTTAAAGAACACTTTAAAAAAGGTGCACTGTTTCCACATTTCTTCACTGGCCTCAGGAATATTTCCATGACTACTATGCTTTCTTTAAAAATTACTATTTTTCTGCAATCCGTGTTTCACTTGAAGTCTTAATCATCTGTGATGACAGTTGTATCACCAGCAACTGGTCATGATGTAAGGAACGAGATCAACCACTTCTGGAGAAAAAACATATCACAAAGCTTTCAAGAAGTCTCTTAATAATCTCAAATAACTTCTCAATAAAATGCCCGTCCATGTTTCAAAGGGGAAAAATATATCAAAAAACAATACACTTGAAGAGAAAATAACATGTTCTTCATCGATAACTACGCTCTTGGGCCTTTCCAACTCCATTATTCAAGACCTATTAAAACCATCAACTTCACCAAGAAAGGGTTTGTATCGCACGTTTTTGGCTAAAGAGACCTTACGGGAAGTTCAGATTTACAGTACTTACTGAAATAAATCTACCCAAAATAATTTCACAGTCCTATAAAGAAAAAAGTGAACAAAACTTCCATGTGGTTGAGCATGCAAGCTTTCAAACCAGGTGCAAAAACGCCTGTAAGTACACGAATGTACATTCAAATGCAATGCACAGATATATGAACACAATGAACATCATCACTGATGTCTGAAATGCCAATTTATTACACACACGCATTTACTCCACAATGCCACTGATTACATGTAGTTTTCAATAAGTGTAGTACATGTCAGATGCGACCTTACCTTCTACCAAAATTCTACACACGCAAAGCATCTTTGCATCAATATTCCAGGCAACAGCGTGTTGGGTGTTTGACATACACTCAGCCGTATTCAGTTAACCTGTTTGATCTCTTCACTGGCCCGACAACTACATTTAAATGATGAATTTTTTAT